ACTGCCTTAGCCGATGTCCCGCCTACTGCCTTAGCAGAGGGTGCTGCCGGCCCGCGGGCGTCGGGCCCCCACAGGCAGGCGGCCGCGAGCCCTCCGTGGGGAAACCAAAGCTACCACCGGCCTCGAGAGGGGATGCTGAGGCGGGGCGTCGGAGTAGCGGCGTCCAGCGTGACGTCAGCACGTTCCTGCGAACGCCTCCAGGACGAAGGACGTCGGACTCCGCGGCCGATGTCCCGCCCACTGCCTTAGCCGATGTCCCGCCTACTGCCTTAGCCGGGTCCAATCAGAGACGGAGAGGATCCGGTCCTTGCGCGCTGGGGCTGGAGACTCGAATGGATGGTTACCAGGGAGACAAGAGACGCAACCTCAACCCTGCCACCACCCTCCGGTTGTCTTGGTTTCTTCATTCTGAATATTTCTCCTGAAAAGTGGACCTCAGGTGTGATACCCCTATAGATTCTGAGCTATTTCCCTGGGTCTTCGAAAAGGGAAAACTTAGATCCACTGTTATAAACGTTGAAGGCAATCTGGCCCTGTAGTTGGTTAGAGTTGGGCTGCGAACACCAAGGTCAGCATTTCTAAGCCATCAGCCGCTCTTGGGAGAAAGATGAGGGGCTAGCACCCCCCGAAAATATTTACAGACTGGAAAACCCACAGAAGCGTTTCTAGTCTCTCTGAGGGTCGCTGTAAGTTGGAATCCACTCAATAAGTACCAACAGCAGTACTCAAAACTCTTAAAATTGTTAAAGGCACCAACGTTTTTATTCATTTGAGTTAATGTCACTTACTGTATTAGAAAATAGAAACTGAATTTTTAAAAAAATAAACTCACTGTATAAATTACATTTTAGTGAAAAACAGTTTCCAAAATAAAAATGTTTACAAAGAATGCCATTGTTTGCAAACCTCTTTACTGTCCACCTTAATAGCAGACAGCAGGAGTCTAAGATCTGCTTCTGTATTCTCTCCATTGTTACATGTTATTGCTATATGTTATCTGCATTCTATTTATAACACTGTATGGCGCTGTTCGGTAAGGGTTGAGCTCTGCTTACCACAATATGGTTCAAATCCACCAGCCCCATGGCAGGAAAAAGATGAGACTCCTATAAAGATTTACAGGCAAAAAAAATCTATATAGGGTCATGATAAGTTGGAATCAACTAGATGGCACTGAATTTTGGTGTATATATACACCAAAGTGTATATATATATTTACACACACCAAAGTATATATACACACACACACACATATATACACCAAAGCATATATATATGTACATGTATATATATATACATATATATATGCTTTGGTGTGTGAATAAATACAGATAGATTAACATAGTGGCTGCAACAATGGGCTCAAAAATACCAATTGTGAAGTTGACCCAGGAAAAACAGTGTTTCCTTCCATTGTATATAGCATGGAGTTGGTGTCTGTTTCTATGAGCCAGAGCTCACTCAAGAGAACTTAATAACAACAATCTAGTATATGGGACAATATGGCCCAAACTCAAAAGTAGGTTTTGTTAGAATATAAGGAAATCACATTTGTTAAAATCACCACAAATATCTTGGGAAAAATTTTGAAAACCCAGGAGAAAACTGTCATACTTATTTGATAGAAAAATAAATTATCCAAAAATTTTATTTGCACTCAAAAATTCAAATAAAAATAGTTTTATTGACATATACACGTATCATACACTCTAATCACTCAATCATATTAAGAATAAGAGACAGGCTGTCCGCTGGCTGGAGCATACCGCAATAGAGGACAATACTGGGGACACAGAGTGGGAAGTGAGTCCGGTCTGACAATCCCACAGTTGGGTGGACCAAGAAGGGAACAAAACAGAATAGCAACAGGAGCAAAGCAAAGAGATGAAAGACTTCAGGCTATGGAGGGCAGTTCCCAGACCCTCCAGGACAGGAGGGGAGAGAGTCATAATGGTCAGTAGACAGACATGATATTATGTAGGCTTTTTTGTTTTTTCCTTTGTTTTTCTCTTTTTATTCAATCTTTTGTTTTCTTTTTGTTTTGTCTCTGTTATTGGTGTTTTGCCTACCTATATAAGATAGTCATGGGAATCAAGGTGTGTTCCAAGCAATGAGTCTGACAGTTCTGGAGGGACTTGGGGAGAGGAGGAGTTAAGGGAAAGGAGTGGTGACCAAAAAAATGCCATAGACAGGAGAACAACTAGGGAATTAAAAGCAACAACAGGAGGATGCAGAGATCCTGGGGTGCTGGAGCAACGGCAATCTAGCTGAGAGGAATTACTAAGAGGCAGAAGAAGGGCGAGCATGATGGTGGAGTAGGAGGCAGGTAAAAGGAAACAGAGGAAAGATCTAGGAAGCAAAGCTATGGATAGAAGTATAAACATAGGTGTGCACTTATGTAAATATATTAATTCATAAAAATAGAAATATTGGCCTATGTACATATATTTATATGCCTATACATTGAGAAAGTGGACAGGCTTTGTGCCTCTGCTCAAGCCCTCCCTCAACACAAGTACACTTTGTCTAACAACCTGGAATTTTGTGATGCTCACTCTCCTGACATGAATAGGTGCATAAGCAAATGTGGTGAAGAAAGCTGATGGTCCCTGGATATCGAAAGATATAGCATCCATCAGAGAAGCAATAAGCCCACATGGAAGAAGCACACCAGCCTGTGCAATCATGAGGTGTCCACAGGATCAGGTAACAGGCACCAGAAGACCCAAAACAAAAATTTTAAAAAACATACTGTTGAGAACTAGTGGAGTCAGAGCAGAGACCCCAAACCGATCACAGAAGGGTCACAAGGAAGAGATGAGTTAACCAGGGTGCAGTATAGCACCAATTAAATACACGTTATTCCTCTGGTTCTTTGAGGCTTCTGAACCCCCACTATCATGACCCTAGTCCTGCCTTTCAGTTCTGGCTAGACCGGAGCATGTACACTGGTATAGATAAGAGCTCACAACACATGGAATCCAGATAAACCAGTCTGGAACAGAAATAGGAGTAGTGATACCAGGAGGGTAGGGTGAAGGTGAGGGCAAGAGAGGAAGAAGGGTGAACTGATGCAAATATCATGCAATGATCAACATGTAACCCTCTCACATTTCTGAACAACAGAAATATGGGTGAATGGAGACAGTGGTTGGTGTAAATGAAAATAATAATTTATAATTTATCCAGGGGTCACAAGGGTGGGAGAGGGGAAGAGAGGGGAAAAAAGAGGAGCTGATACCAAGGACTCAAATAGAAAGTAAATGTTTAGAAAATGATGATGGCAACATATGTACAAATATGCTTGATACATTTGATGCATGGAATGTTATAAGAACTGTAAGAGTCCCAAATAAAATGATCTTAAAATAAAAATTAAAGAGCAAAAGTGTTATGTTGGGGATTAAGGTATGCCATGATATTTTCAATCACCTGACTTTGAATGAAGAAGATTGGAGAGAAAAAAAAAGAGCTGTAAGTGCCCCCAATAAAGTGATTAAAACAGAAGATTATTTGTCCAATTATCACCCCCAATCAATTTCACAATATTTTCTTCTTGTATACATTGTTTTTAACTTCACTTCCTTCCATGCTCCCCTCCCATTCCCCTAGGCAATTGCTATCAATCCAGTTGCTTTCTCTGTAGATTTACCTCTCCTCAATTTCATATACAGAAAACCATACAAAACACAAACAGGAAGCAATAAATAAATAAATAACCCCCAACAGTGACTAGATAAAACATATGAAAATCTCAATGGAAAAGAAAGCAGAAAAACAAACTATTTTAAAATGAGTAAAAAAATAAGAGTTTAAGTAATAAGGTTTTACATTTTAACGTAACTACATCTGGCATAATTGACAATGCTCTCTATCTGATAGAGAGGCTACTCACATCCCTCGATTATGGTCGGAGGGGATTCACCAAATGCTTCATTCTTGTGGACACTCTGAAAATGAATTGGACTTCCACTGTTATCCATAGACTTGTACAAACCAGTGTTCACAATTCAAGCTCTGAAACCATTTACTCCTTCAGATTTGGATTTTATTATTTACAGTCCTTGGATCACACAGGATGGTGTGCTTCGTCCATGTGGACATAGTTGATGCCTCCCTTAGATGGTTGCTTGGTTTAAGACAAACCTTTAAGACTCCACATGCTTTTCTTTTCACCATCTAGTTTCTTCAACACACTTTGGTAGAGCATCCATATCTTCAGTGATTTCTTCGTGCAGAAAAGCATCGAGCAGTGTCATGTCATACAAGGCGACAATATACAATGGATATCCCCACAAGTCAAGTTGAAATCAAAGAGGCTACATCTGTGGGAAGATGTGATGGAAAAGCTCAACATCAACAACTAAAACCAGGCCAGGGGCTGACTGTGGAACAGACCATCAATTGCTCATATGTAAATTCAGGATAAAAGGGTAGACAATTACAACAAATCTGTGAGAGCCAAATTATAACCTTGACTCTATCTCAACTGAATTTCGAGAACGTCTCAAAAACAGATTTGCTGCATTGAGCACTAATAACAGAAGATGGAACTGTGGGAAGAAATCAAGACCATCCTTCATGAAGAAAGCAAAATGTCAATAGACAGGAAAGTTCTAAAAGGTCAAAGTGGGCGTGAAAAGATACCCAAACTTTCTCTTAATCATATAGTAGCTAAAGCAAATGAAACTAAGCATGAAATCAAATGATGTTATAGAAAATCCCAAACGGGAGCTGGAGAA